ATGTATTTAATAAGCAAGGCTTATATATGAATTAAAGAACTAAAGTTAGAATTATTGAGCATGATTCATGAATTTATTTCTCACCCATTTATTATTGGTGTTGAGTCAAGAAGTTACTTTATTTACTCGCTCATGTAAGTTGAGTTTGGTCAAGGAAGTTTAGTAGTGCTTTGTGCACAAAATTAGGCAAGGAACCTGAATTAAAATAAATAGTATGTGTTCACTAATTAAATCAAGAATGAAATGGAAGTATGTGTTGTGAATTGTTATGTTTGTTCTTGATTGATTGGTTGGAGTTGTCACAACTTAAATTGGTAAATCACATAAAGTGTAAGAGGATACGCACCAAAACTCTTGGAACGTATATACCTTGAGTATGAACATATGGGGGGAGTTATGGGGTTTTATATTTAACCATAGCTTCTACAGGGGTACAGGACGCTGTACTTTCTTTTATTATTAATGCGATGGAATTCCCTCACAAGGTGACATAGTAGGTGCCAATTGGGGTAGCTCCCTGATCGGAAGCTCAATATTCAAATGGGATTTTTTCAAGGAAGGAAACCCGTTCGATGCGTAATCCAAAATTATTATTAACAATTAATATTGCTAGTTAGAAGTCAAAGGTAAGTTGAATTGTGATTGTGTAGCGAGCATGTTTTAATTATTACTTTTATTTTGATGCTAGGGTATTCATGTTAGTGTGGTGCATATGTACTCAGCTTTGCTGATTCGTACTTTTGTGTTTGGCTTTTCTTTGGATTGACCCTACTATGACCCATTTATATGATGAGTAGAGAGTTAAATAAAGAGAAAGTAACAGGTACTTGAAGCATGAAGAGCATGATGGGATAAAGTGCAGAGAGTTACTTGTTATGTTTCTTAGTTTTGATATTTTGAATTATTGGTTATTGTTTATGGACTAACAATATTATGTTTGTTTTTAATTGGTTTTTAAGAAGGGCCATGTTTGAATTGGTTCCAACTTGTGGATGTTTTATTCTACATTTGTTTTGAGGTTGTGAACTCAAGTTTTATTTTTAAAAGTTGGTTTTTGTTTTAGACTTCTGCCGTGAGACTTTGAAAATTAGCCTAAGCCGTTATCACAGTGGCGGTAATATTTTGCTTATTTCCTAAAAAGGGTTTTAGTTAGAGTTAAAAGAGTATTTTAAAGGAAGGAAATTTGCAAGGTATTACACCCCCACCTCGACACTCACCCCTCTCTCTCTATCTCCCCTTTTTCGCTCTCTAGTTCGCCGGAAAGTCGGGGTTGGTTTATGAGTTTGGGAGCAGTGGTATTTGGGTGGGGAAGGGGGAGTGGGGGTCGAATCAGGTTTGGGTACAACCAGACAAGGGAGGCGGGCTGTTTTGATTGGGGGGGACATGAGGGTGGTGTTGGGGTGGGGGAAGCGAGAAAGGGGAAAGGGAGCAGGGGTGGGGGTCTCGTGGACTTGTGGGTGGGGGGAAAGGGTGGAGGCCTGGAGGGGCAGGGTCGTCGGTGCCCGTAGAGGGAGTTGGTCGCCGTCGGTGACAGGTGGGAGCTGGCAGTGGGTGGGGGAAGAGGGTGGCTGCTGGGATTTTTTTTTCTTAATCTTTTTTAATTTGTTTATTTAATATAATTATAATTAACATTTAATAAAATGTAATAAATTGTTTTTAATTAAAAAATGGCTTGTTTAGTAGGTTGTAGGTCACCAGACCTATTTAAAAAAATACCCTTTAAAAGTTGACTTAATTTGAGTTAATCGAAAAGTTGGCTTATTTTGAGCTAACCACGCAAAGGTTGCCTTATTATTGACAAATTTTCCTATTGATAAAATATTCATTGAGACGATTCCAACAAGTACCCACAAGACTATATTTATTCTTATGTATAAATCACAAACATTAGTCAAAGTGAATTAGAGTGTAAAAAGTCAAAATGTTTCATTTATTTAAACACGGAGGGAGTAAATCATTAGATTAGTTGCAATGTCTACTTTCATTATTTATTTATTTTGGGAAATTCTATTTGGTGGCTTCGTGGTTTCAAGAATTCCACATGGAAGACTAACTTTTTTTTTAGTCTCTTCAGTGGCACCAAGGTTTTGAAAAATATACATAGTGACCTTTTTTAAGTTTATGGCTAACCTTTTTAGCTAAAATGGTTAACCTTTTGATTTTTTTTTAAAAATAAATTAAATTAAAAAATAAAATAAATAAATTAAAAAAAAAAAAAGTCAGCCACCATCAACTACCACCCTTCCTCCCTGCCACCACCAACCCCACACCCGTCGGCGCCCAGACCCACCCTCGCCGGCGTGCAGGCCTTTCCAGCTGTCGCCAATCCCCCTAAGCCACCACCCCATCCCCGAAACCCCTTCCCTCTCTCACCGAAACTCCATCACAAACCAGCAGCCACACCTCTCAATAAGCGGCAACAACCACAAATCGAAGCAACAAATCGAAGCAACAAAGCCGGAGCTGGATTTTCTCGTGGTGGGGGGAGGGGCGATGGGTTTTCTCGAGGTGGGAGGAGGCCCGATTGGGGTTTTCGAGGTGAGGGAAGGGTCGGTGGTGGAGTTTCGGTGAAAGAGGGAGGGGGTTTCGGGGATGGGGTGGTGGTTCAGGGGGATTGGCGACGGCTGGGAAGGCCTGCACGCCGGCGAGGGTGGGTCTGGGCGCCGGCGAGGGTGGGTATGGGCGCCGGCGGGTGTGGGGTTGGTGGTGGCAGGGTGGTAGTTGATGGTGGCTGACTTTTTTTTTTAATTAATTTATTTTATTTTTTAAATTAATTTATTTTTAAAAAAAAATCAAAAGGTTAACCATTTTAGCTAAAAAGGTTAGCCATAAACTTAAAAAAGGTCACTATGTATATTTTTCTAAACCTTGGTGCCACGAAAGAGACTAAAAAAAAAGTTTGTCTTCCATGTGGAATTTTTGAAACCACGAGGCCACCAAATAGAATTTCCCTTTTATTTTTTATTTTTATTCTTTTTTTTTTTTACAATTTTTACTAATGGTAAAATTTTGGGTGAGACGGACTCACCGTGAGTCCGTCGCCAATACTCACAACACCATTCATTCAACAACTCTCGCTAAAATGAGTTCACCATCAAAACCAAATCTCGACCGTCCAATTGCCATCGAAATCCAACCATCATCACCTCGTTACCCATTTCAACCGTCTTCCTCCACCACCACTTCCGCCGCCGGCAACGAACCCCCCCACAGGAAAATCGTAATTCCTGTCGATCTCAGCGACGAGAGCGCCTTTGCTGTTCAATGGGCCGTCCAAAACTACCTCCGTCCCTCCGACTCCATCACACTCCTCCACGTCCAACCCACTTCCATCCTCTACGACATTGCTGCTGCTGCTTCGGCATCGAGGACTGTTCGGATGCCTCGTGCTGCGGTGATTAAGTCGAGGAGAGCTTTGAGTGTGAGTTTAGAGGGGAAGGTGTCGGATGGAGATGAATTGTTAGGGCTTGTTAGAGATGATGTGAAATCTGAGGGTTGAGGAGAAAGAAAATATTATAGCCATGGAAGAAGAAGAGGGTCAGTGGTGAAGGAGAAAATAATGTCAGGTATTAGATTATTATTGTTGGGTATTAGATTATTATAGTCAGATATTAGATTATTATTGTCAGGTATTAGATTATTATTGTTAGATATTAGAATATCATTGTCATACATATTGGACTCACGGTGAGTCCGGTCTCACGCAAAACCTTCTCTTTTACCAATACACAATTAAAGATATTAATGGTCAAAATTACGTCTTGGCAAATACGTCGATCAAACTAATGCAATTATAAAAAAACGAGGGATGATGATATTGGAAAATAAAATTGTTGTTTTCATATGACTTCAAACTTTCAAAGATGACCAAAGCCAACCCACACATTTTTCAAGCATGCATAGTACTCATAAAGTCATAAATCCAAAATAAAATCAAATACATTTCCATATTTTCATGCTACAAAAAGTTATAAAGTCATAGTACAAATGTACAATCACACTCCTTTCTTTGAGGACGTTTTCCCAAACTAAGCCATTTGTGGTAAATATTAACCAAAATGGTTGCGTGGTAAAAGTATTTACGAAACTAAGCTTGTAGGGTAAAACGCTGTCTCGGACAGCGTTTTATACCCTGTTTTTTTTTTTAAAAAAATCAAAGTGTAAAACGCTGTCTCGGACAGCGTTTTACGTGTTGACTTTTTTCTTTTTAATTTCGTAATTTCTGATTTAAAATTTTTGTAAAAAAAAAAAACTCAATATGTAAAACGCTGTCTCAGACAGCGTTTTACATTTTAATTTTTTAAATAAAACAATAACCAATTTTCTGATTTTTTGTTAAAAAAAAAAAAAAAAATTGTAAGTGAAACGCTGTCTGAGACAGCGTTTCACTATTTTTTTTTTTTTTAAAAAAACAAGTTTTTGATTTTTTACAAAAAAAAAAAAAAAAAAAAAATTAGTAAGTGAAACGCTGTCTCGAACAGCGTTTCACTAGCTAATTTTTTTTTTTTTTTTTTTTTTTTTTTTTTTTTTTTTTTTTTTTTTTAAAAAAAACCAATTTTAAATCAGAAACTTGGTAATTTTTTTTTTTTAAAAAAAAGTCAATATGTAAATCGCTGTCTGGGACAGCGTTTTACATATTCAATTTTCTTTTAGAAAATTTTAAATCAAAAAATTCCGAAATTGAAAAGAAAAAAGTCAACACGTAAAACGCTGTCCGAGACAGCGTTTTACACATTGATTTTTTTAAAAAAAAAATTAGGATATAAAACGCTGTCCGAGACAGCGTTTTACCCTAGAAGCTTAGTTTCGTAAATACTTTTGCCACACAACCAATTTGGTTAATATTTACCAAAAATGGCTTAGTTTGGGAAAACGTCCCTTCTTTGACTCTATCCCTATTATATTGCTCAACTCAATCTTCTATCTTATCCTATGTAATGAAATAAAATAATCGTGATTATAATTAAACACAATTTATAAGCCCAAGTTTAAATAATTAATCTTCATCATCACATTATTACAACGTTAACCCAGGTAACACGAAAAACACACTCAACATTTCAACAAATTCAACAATTCAACCCCATTCATTAATTCATTGAAACAGAAAAAACGTAAGCATTCTTGGGATTGATTCAACAGAAAAGGAAGAAAACCCAGATAATCTGGAATACTCACATTATTTTTCACCCCAGATTTTTCCCAAATCTCACATTTCCTAATCAATTTCCCTTTTTCATCCAAAAAATTAAATGCAAATTTAATAATTTTTCCTCCACTTTGCACCGTCTTAACCCCGCCAAATGCCTCTTTCTCTCTCCTCTTTTTCAAGTATTCTTTGATTCTTGCAATATAAATAATACTTTTTTCCAATACCCATTTCATTTTATTTGTTTAATTCATTGAATTTGGGTGTTTGAAATGACTGGCGGTGGACCGTCGTCGGAGAGTGGTGGTGGCAGCAAGAACATTTTCTGTGATGCCGTCGCTGGCGCCGCTGCAGGTTCTTTATTTTAATTCCTCCATTTCTTAATTTTACATTTTTTGCATGTTAATTGAATTGATTGATTAGGTTTTTGTATTTTTTTTGGTGTTAAATTGATGTTTTTAATGGAATTTTGATGGTGTAAAGGTTGATATCAGTAGTTGTGAAAGTGTAGGTGGAATTGCTGCAACATTTGTGTGTCCATTGGATGTAATTAAGACAAGATTACAAGTTCATGGCCGTCCTGTCACTTCTTCTACTTCTGCTTACAAAGGTAGTTGAATTTACTTGTTTGATTCTTTTTATTTTTTATTTTTTTTTGTTTTTGATTAATGTGGGTTATGTAATTGCTGGCTGTCAAAAAAAAAAAAAATGTAATTGCTGAAAATTGAGCAAGGGAATTCTTGTTATGATTTTGTTTACAATCTTTCAAATTATGTTGTATGAGAAATTGATAGAAAGAAGGATAAATTGGATGATTTTGATTTTTTTTTTTTTGGGGAGGGGGGGGGGGGACTTGCTTAATCGTTGATAAAAATTCATGTCAAATTGGCTGTTTCGAGCATGATAGGGATGGAGGGTTTGAATGGTATTTTTCCTTGTTTGAGAAATTGATTTGGAAGAAGGATGTCATGGGTATATCAAGGATACAATGGACGACTTTGATCTTTTTTTTTTTGGGTTATGGTTAAACTTCAAATTTGATTCTTATTCAATTGATTGTTTTGAGCATGGGAGAATGGATGGTTTGAATAGTATTCTTCTTGGAGGTGTTAATATATAAGTCATAGGATACAATGGTGTCGAGCCTAGTTGAAGAACTTAAGTTACTTAGCTGTGGAAGTTTTTTTTCTTTTCTGATCAAATGATTGTAAAGTTAATGGCTAGGTATGCTAATTGAATCTGAATGATGTACTCTATTTTATTAGAGCTTTATTTTTTTCAAAATGCTTTTTTAATGATAAATTATTTTGGAAGAAGGATGTCATAGTATATCAAGGATACAGTGGATGCTTAACTATATTTTAAATTAGAAATTACATGATATTATTATAGCAACTTTTTTTTTTTTTTTTTTTTTTTTTTGGGTAATTGAGAAGTAGCTTCACCAACATAAAGATATGTGAGAGGGCATTGAGATGATTGGACTACTAAATTGCTTTGTACGTAATGCAACAGTTAAAAAAGTGATTTGGTTTTTTATTGATGTGGTAGAGATGGTGGAGTGACTTTGGGGGTTTAGAAGAATGATGTTTTTGGTTTTCAACTGTTTTGTTGTTCTAGATAGCTGAACAGTTTTTAACTGACCCCGCAAACAATCGGACTTATAAGGATTCATTTGATACCCTTATGTGTGCAGAGGATAGTAAGGTAGCTTGGGATTGGTAAGCGCAAAAGGCACGGCCACAAACTCATAATACCCTTATGTGTGCAGAGGATTGTCTAGACTTCATCCCCTGCCCTTGTTTGGATGTGATAATAACCTGACTTCAAGTCCAACTTGGATTGGAGAGTACTGAACATCCTTATAATTCATCCGGAAGCTCTTCAATTGCTTTTTGGTGATGGTTTAAAGCTCAATTGTCTACACAGAATCTCTATGACCTAGATTAAATAACTAATTATGCTGCAAATATTTTCCCTTTTCTGCTTACAGCAATGTAATTGAACAACTAAGTGCTTCTTTCAGGAGCTTTGACCTCTAGGCTCTTTCAACATTTGCTGTGATTTTGAGTTAAGCACTTGATCTGGTTCTCATGAACTGTGAATTCTATCCCTTAACATTCATTTGCTGGTGAAATGAGCTTATTTTGACATGCAATTCATTCATTCACTTTTGTTCTATTGGAAGAGCAAAGGGATTTAAATCAAACATGTTTCTAGAAATTGTATACTGCTGGTACCCTAACACGATTTATTAGGCTGAAGTCATTTTGAACTTCTTATAGGCATGGCTGCATGGGATTCATTTAGTAAATGTAAATTTCTGGTACAAGTTAGAGGGTCAAATCTTTCAAATGATTCCTACTTCTGACTATATATCTGTGAACTTGAACCAGACCACAGCTGTGAAAGATCAAATCTTGTTCATTCTTATTTGTTTTTGTTTTTAGTATGCTGCTGGTCTATTACTGCTTTCCTTAACTTTTGATTTTTTTTATCTAATAAAGTTATATTATATGTGAAGCAGGTAGCATTATCATTACAAGCCTTCAAGACATTGTTAAAAAGGAAGGGTTTCGTGGCATGTATCGTGGGCTTTCTCCAACAATTTTTGCTTTACTTCCAAATTGGGCGGTATGCTTAAGCTTAGTTGACTTAGGATTTTGAATGAAACAATTATAATTATCTGTATACATCTTGTTCACTTCCCACTCTATACAATGTTCCTGAGGTTCCAGTGAAGGGAGTGTTTTTCCCCCTTTTATTGAAGCTGATTAATTTTTAATTACTTTATTGCTTGGTCACTTGATTCAGTGATATGATTTAACATGTTAATTATCTAAGTTCTTTCCATCATTTAATATTCTGGCATCTTATTGTTTATTATGCGTTGTTACCCCATAGTAATCATTTTTTTTCTTTCTCGTGAATTTTTTTAAATGGGCACTCTGAACATCGAAGTGAGTTCTTGGCTGCATTTATAGTAAGATGTGGTTCAGTGGTTGTGATTACTTACCAGAGTCTTAGCAGTTTACAAATTGAAGCTGCATGGGAGTTGGCCTCCTTAGTTGGTTACTCAGGAGTCGTTGGGCAGAACATGTAATTAGGGAACATCTAACTTGCAATAGTTTTTGGTTTGTCTATCTTTGACACCTAGGCACCCCCTTTCTTAATTTCATAGATTGCTTGGAAGGCTAGTGTTCCTCTTAATATGCACCTTGGTGTAGAATCAACACTAATGATATTATCTAATGCCTTTTGAGAAGACGATGAATGGTTATTTCACAGGATGTTTGCATTTCATGTCATGGTAATAGTGAGTCCTGCTGTCATGTCTGTCTTCATTGTGAAAGGGCAAAGTTGGAGGAGCCTATTGGCTGTATATGCTGCAAGTTCGCTTTGTGATTAGAACAGAATGCACTGCTTCAACTAGTGCTTTGTTGTAGGATAGAATAATTTATTTACCTTCTTTGTGGGCTAAGGCAGGGGAGGACTTTAAAGTTGGTGGGGGAAATTCAGTGGAATTGTGCTAATATGTAATTTGTTCTTTGGTGTTTTGAGGGAAATTTGTCTTCTGTCTTCTGTACTTCTGTTTTCTGTTCATTTATTAAAAAAATTATTATAAAAAGAAAATATGCGTTTAGTGTACTTAACTTCATCAAGCAAATCAAACATTTTGGTAATTCATTTGCAACATAATAATATCATGAATTTCTTGAACAACATTTGTTGTGGACCGGGTTTGATTCTCTGTATCTTTTCCATGTTAGCGGATTTTAACATCAGATGTCTTAATACCCCCCTTTTGCACCAGAAGGTTTATAATTTACCAATATTTGGCAACGACATCTGATCTCTTTTTACCTCTTAAGGCTTTTTTCTCTTCTTAACCCGTTCTTTATTAGTTGACGCACTTGATTTTGACACACATATAGGTATGATAAAAAGAAGGAAAAAGACAATAATACTCCTACCCTCTCAAAATGTGGGATAATAAGGGTAAAGTAGGAATTATACATAAGAAAACTTTTTTATATTAAAAAAACATGTCGACTAAAAAGAAATTTCCCAGAAAGGAATACAATCAACTATTTTAGTATATATATTTACTCGTAGTGAAAATTTCTTAAAACTCCAGTTTTGATCAGTTTTTATCAGTAACTTTCTATAGAAAAGTATACTAGTGAATCAGTAAAAATTATTTTCAATTAGTAAAAATAAGTTGGGATCAGTAATAGTCAGTTACAATCTATCAAAATTAATTTCAGTCTAGTAAAATCAGGTGGAGAACAGGGCCTTTTTTAGTGGGGGAATAGGGATTTATCACTTTATGTACATATTTATATATGTGTATAGAAATTTGCATGTGTAGCTAGGTTCTCTTAGGGTTCTATGATGCTCTTATAATCGATCATAAGAACAGATAGCAGTGATAAAGTCCTGCTTGTTTCTGGAAGGTGGACTACTCTTCAGATTCTCTTAAAATGATGTCAATAAGTATTATAAGATAAAATAAAGTGAATTTGAAGGGGACCAATAGAATTTCCTTATGACTACCTTTCTTCCGGTTGTTAGCTATTTATTACCCAAAATGTAACATTTCTTACGCACCATCTCCACTTGTAAAATATCGTAGCAGAAAATGTAATTTGGACATGGCCTTAGAAATACCAAGAATTGTAGGAAAGGGGATTAACAAAGAATGGAGACAAATTTGTTTGGGTTTTGTTGAATAGGTGGTTTTATTAGAATTTGAAGTTAGAAATTGTAGCCTATTGAAATGGCAAATAGAATTGTGGGAATGGAATATATCACAAGGCTCCAAACTTACCTTTAACTATGACTTATCAAATATATAAATCCTAGGCAGAGTGTCATTCACTTCACTTTTCATGGTGAGAAGCACTAATTCATAAGATATAAGTAAAAAAAAAAAAAAAAAAAAAGAAAATTTATCTAACCTCTTTTCAATAGGGGAAATTCAGCTGAACTGGGCTAAAATGTTATTGAATTATTTATTTATTTATTTTTTTCCCCTCTTCTTTGAGGACAATTAAAAAATTCTCTATAGAGAACAATTAGATGATTGTTTTCCAGTACAAGGTTTTAAAGGTGATTATCTTTGAGCTTTTTGAAAGGAAAGTTGGATAGAATCCAATTACTATTTTTAACAAAGAAAAGAATCAAAACCATAGGTGTTTTATGGAGTTGATTTTCCCTGGTTACATTGAATGGTATGGATTTAAAATTTCTAAATTTCCGAATAAGGTTTATATTGGTCATCTAGTGTTAAAACAACAAACCCATAGCCTTATTTCCATAGAGATGAGGTCGGATGCATGAGTCGAAAGCCCATAAAGATCGTCCTCCATTCGCTTTCATCTAGTGCTACATCATTCCTTCCACTCGAGTCATCTTTGGTCTTTCTCGACTATGCTTGAGATCTCCATTACCTTAACCCTTCACTTTCCTTATCGGAGCATCTTCCAATCGATGTCTAATATGCCCAAATCATCATAATCAATTCTCCTTTATCTTATCCTCAATATCCATAACTCCAATTATTCTCCAAACTATGTATGAAAAAGCGCGCCTAGGCACTAACGCGCAGGGCCTTAGGGGTCATGCACCTTTTGTTGTCCGTCGTAGTGATTTTGATGAAGCGTAGTTGAAGCATGTGGCCCACTACATCTTTTTCACAAATTTTTTTATTGCTTTTTATATGCCCCTCACTTCAACAAGGCACATCGAAGTGCACTAAGGCGTTCCTAGGGAATTTTGAAATTCCTTTGTGCTCCTTGAGCCTATTTATACATTGCCTCCAAATATCTACATGACGTAGGTTTTTTTATCCATATTCTAGAAAATTTTTAGGATGAAAAATTAAATCTACGAGCGAGTTGTATTTAATTGTAATTGGTAGATTATTGGATGCGAAAACCTCATATCCCATATCGACTGATGTGGAAATGTCTTAATGAAAGATGCTCCTTCCATATCTCTTAAATATTTTATATTCATAAAAACATATGAAAGATTTATTTTATTTTATTTTATTAAATTTGACAAACTAGTTTTTACTAATATATAATGAGTAAAATTAACAATCAAAGTGCATAGTGCATTAGTATCATGTACCAAATTGCTTATTTATAGCTTAATTTATTTTGGGATTGGGTGGATTAGCGAGTTAGGTAACATGGGGTCAAAATTGATTCTTAAACAACCATGGGCGGCCTAATTCATGTACTTGAGGAGATATATGCATATTGGTTGTCCCTTCATTTGCAATTATGCATTTATAGAAATAATCTGGTACATTTTTGGAAGTTATTATCATATTTTGTCACATCGTTTGACAAGAGCCACAATGATTGAGAGTAGTACTAGGATGGGTGACCTCCCGGGAAGTCCTCATGTTGGTTCATGTAGTCAACTCCACTCATGGGATTAAGGCGTTCAAGCAGAAGAAGAAGAAGAAGATTCTTGATGTGTGTATGTGTTTTAGGCTATAGGTGTGTTTTGCGCACTCATGTGCCTATCTCTTCTAGGTATGATTGTAAGTGAGTGATAAGTGCATAAACGATACCACTCTAGCTCACTGTTAATTTTGGAGAAAAGGACAAAATGAGAGCTTTTGTTTTTTGTAGCTTAGTTAATTGGCTTTACATATTACAATCTAGACATTAATGGCACCTTTGTGATTTCCATTATTTATTCTTTTTCATCTTTTTCTTCAATTTCTTTTGAAAATTATTATATAGAATGAGAGGGAGACGGTGGCCGTTCTATTATACTCCTTCCGTTTTCCTATGTTCTGGCGTTCTGCTCACTTTCTTTTCACATCTGTTTTTTAAGATCTAATCACCTTTGCTATATTCCTTATCTGACCTCCAATCAACATGGGGCTGCGATTACCTTTTCCCTCTTAAAACTGCTATATTTTCCTTGGTTATCAGTTCATATTAGAACTCAAGAAAATGGATAAAGAATGTGTTACTCCTTCCATCATGCCATTTGTGACGGCTCCAACTCCTTTTAATAATCCACAATCCTATCTCTTATGTTACCTTTAGAAGATTGGCGTGGAATAAAGTATGGATGTCACTTGTGGATTTCAAAGACGGTCTTTTGGGAAAATTGCTATTGCATTAACTGTATTGTTTGATTTTTTGAACTCAATTTTGCACCTGTGGTACTTCATCAGGTCATCAATGGATTTAGCACCACAAATCAAGTAATAGGAGTTGAAATTTTGTTTGAAGGAATGTCTATGGATTGATGTTAAGAGCTTTGGTGTTCTCTGTGATGATAAAACACATGCACAATTGTCATAGCATCACATCATACTACTCTGAGTTTCCAAATAAAATCAGGGCTATGAGGATTCTAAATGGATGCTATGTACTAAAACCTGTTGAAATTGGCTCATTGACATTAATTTAGTAGCCTAACATTGGTTTTCTTAGTTTAATTACATGTTACAACTAGCAGTATTTCTTAGTTTATTATGATTATTATTTTATTTTGTTTTATTTGGATCTCAAGGCTCTTTTCCTTATATATGAGATCAGTATCGTTGTACATTAAATTGGTTTTTATTTTGCTCTTTCCTTAGCAACAGTTATCTATACGATAGGTATTGGCCTTTATGTAATTTACTTGATAAAATTGGTAATGAATCAGATTTCATGCTAGATTTATTAAAGTTCTCTATCTAATATCAAAAGAGTAGGTTTATTGCATCCAATTTTTCTATATTCTGGCATATATTTGCACTCTCCATGTTAATACCTCCATTCCTATTTTTTTGTGGCTCTGTGGAGATACATGCTCCATATACTACCTCCAAATTTTTTGAATGACATACTTGTTCATTTCGTATGTAGGTATACTTTGCTGTTTATGAACATCTTAAAGGTTTACTCCAAACAGATGGTTGGTTTATTTGACACTTTTTATGAAATTAATTACTCCCTGCGTCCCATTATTTCGTGCCTATTTTGCTAAAAACACGGTAATTAAGGAAAATGGAGGAAGTAGGAGAATATTCTATTGGAAAGATAAAAAGTAGAGAATATTGTATGGGATTGATAAAAAGTAGAGAATATTGTATGAAAAAAGAGAAAAAGTAAGTAATGATTTTTTAGGTATATGTGTATTTTGTATAGGAAAGATAAAAAGTAAGTAATAATTATGGGCTATTTTTAGAAACAGGCACAACATTTTGGGACACCCAAAAAGGTTAAAGGCACGAAATTATGGGACGGAGGGAGTAAAAGTATTTGTTACTCACTTTATATTGTTATGGTTTTCTACGACTGAAATTGTTTCCATTTATCTAGAGCATGGTAATGGTCAGCTTACAATTGGTAGAAATATGATTGCTGCTGCTGGTGCTGGAGCTGCTACAGCTGTCGCAGCTAATCCCCTGTGGGTAGTGAAGACCCGACTCCAAGTAAGTAGGATGTTTGGTCATATGCTATGTGTTCTGAACTTGGTCACACTACTAAGCACATGGTCACCCCCATTGACTTGTGTGTGGAAATTTTGTTGCTTGACTTTTGACCTTCGATCATATTAGGTGAAAGCTGAAACTTGACAATCCTTTGCAATTTCGATATTGGTTTGGCAATCTAAAAATGCTGATATTGATTGGATGTATGGGCTGAAAGTCCTTAAAAACCTGTCTTTTGGGACAACAATTTTTTATTTATTTTTTAACAAATTCATAAAACATATAAGATCATGTAAACTTGCTTTTAAGATTTGAAACAGACAAAAGTATTCTCACATAAGTAAACTATTCTTCCTTGATATTAATTTTGATTGCATTGGTTTGGAAATTACGGAGTAACGAAAGCAAGATATCATCAAACTTGCATTAATTATAATTTTACTTGTGGACAATTAATTAATGCGGATATTAGCCTTTCAGAACCATTCAAATGGAAACACCTAGCAAACACTACGGGATGGAAGGAGTAGAATTTTTCTAATAAATTAAGTGCCGACCGAAGTTAGTTTGATGTTGGCTTAAAGGTTACGAACAGGAGCAATTAGTGGATATTTAAGGACAATTGCTTATTTCTCTCACAAAAAAGGTGGTTACCAAATTTTTTAACAGAGGTAACATTATTTTGGAAATATGAGGGAGGGGAATTACGTATTCCCAAAATAATGTTAAGTATGTTTTGGATAGTGGCATATGCTTAGATGAAAAATAACTATAACCAATCCCACTTTAATTGGCCACATTTGGTTACAGGTCATTCTCAAGGTATTCACTCGAAATACCCTAACCATCCTTGATAATTTGTACAATTGTTTATAACACATCTTATCATGATACTACTTATTAAATCGAAAAAAGAAAGTTTGAGTAATACTGGATATTCCATGCTTTTACTTACTATTTATAAAAAGTGACCTATATATTGGGACATTCCAAAATAGAAATTTAGCCTATTAATGTAGGATGGAGGGGGTATGTTGTATTCAACAAATAGCTTCTTTATATTCATGTTATTTTAGATTGAACATAGTTTTGTGGTAAGAATTTATTGTTTGTGCTGTGCTCTAGCCTCTAGACCAGTGCTGGTAGTGTTTGGTGTTGCATGTGAAAATCTATTATGTCAAAGTGGGTATTTATTTGATTTTGAGATCTCATTAAGAAGTATTGTGACTCATACACCTATTTTGGGATTTGATTTTGTGGCAAGTCAGCAATTGCTGTATGAAAGACTTGTGTTAATGGTTTTATAAATAAAATTACTCATTCTTATGAGTCTTATCAAGTACAATCATTTCAGCACTTAGATTACCATTGAAAGCATTTCTTGGAATGGACATAGTCTATCAAATGTCAAATTGGGGGATGAAATGTTTATCTCAACTTATGACTGCAGATTATTAAATCAGTGTTATTCATTGGGATTTATACAAACGTGTCACCTTAAAGATTCGCACCTACTACCATGCTTATTTTGCTCAAGGCTCGCTATGCCAGTCATGCAGGAGATATCTTGAACTGTCACATGTTTTATATCTTCTTCAGTTCTTCCTTAAGACCTTGTTCAGCTCACCTCATTTCCACTTATTTCAGGAAATATTAGATCAGACAAAGGGTAATACGTTCAGTAAAGTTCAAATAAGGGCTACCCAAATTCATTTACAACTAAATAAGTTTAGATAAGTTCAGCTTAGTTTATTCAAGTTCAGATAAGTTGAAATAAATCGAGTTAAAATAAGGTTCAGATAAGTAAATATCAGGTGAATATAATGCATAGTAAGTGTACAGTACGTGAGTACGTGAGAAGCTTAGGGGAAAATATTTAATAACTGGGTAAATACTCATTAAAGACTTGAGATTTGTATCATGTGAGTAAACATTCATGCTTCATCTATTTTGAACTAAGTAGGGCCCTTTTATATCATTTATAACTTCTATCTCTTATATACTACCTCTGTTTCAATTTATTTGCAACATTTACCATAAATGGATACTACAAATTATTTGCAACAAATGTTTTTTTTTTTTTCCCTTTTTTTTACTTGTCATTTCTCTCTATCTCTCCTCATCACATGCAACTTTATTTTTATCTCTCCATTTACCACTCACACACAAATTTTACCTAGATGTTGGTGAATGTTACATTGTAGCAAATAAATTGAAACGGAGGTGTAATTTTTTATACAGACTGTGTGAGAAGACGAAATTCAGTTTATGTGAATGTCTTCCAACTATGTCTGTTTGATTTTTTTTTTTTTTTTTTTTTGAATAATTGTTCGCAAGATTGTTGTTTTTCTTGGATGATAACATTTTCTGCAACCATTTTTGTTGGGTGGTCAGAAAAAGCTTTTTCAAAGTAGAATTTGTTAAATAAACTCTGCCTTTGAGTGAACAAATCATTGGTTATCAAGTTTGGGTTTTAATTTATTTTATTCTTTACTCTCATTGATGATTGAAAATTGGAACTGGTTTCTTTGATATAGGGTAAATACTAATTTACAAGTTTATTGAGTTCAATGGGTAAATTGTTTGCCACTTGTTTTAAAGCTTGCAATCTACATGTGATCAAGTATAGATACAATTATTGTTTCATTCTTTCTAAAAAAACTCTGATTAATATATTCATTTTGGTGGGACCTATTATGATTGATCATTAAGCTTTGTCAATTTCAGACGCAGGGAATGAGGAAAGATGTAATTCCATATAAAAGCATACTTTCTGCCTTATCAAGGATAACGCGTGAAGAAGGAATTCGTGGGTTGTACAGGTAAAATACACAGAATAATTGAAGCAATATTCTACTTAGTTTCTTTTGTCTCATCTCAAAATAATTGTTATTTTCCATCTTCAGTGTCTCAAAACAGTCCTCAGTTTTATGTGGAGTGATTATCATAATTAGCTTTTTTTTTTTCTTAGTTTATTTTTTTTCCTTTTCCTGCATATTTACATCTTTTTACAACAAATACTTTTACCTTTAAACTACTTCCTACCCACGAATCTTCTTTTCCACATGCTGGATTCACTATAAAATTGCAAAAAACCTATATCAATGGCAGTATAACTTGTAAAGTTTTATTTGAAATTTGAATCACGTAACCAGTAGCATTCATAGGCACAAAGCTTTCATGTGTGTGACTGTGTGGTTGGAGCTTAACTTCCAGATCTTTGCTTAACTTTCTTTGTCTTCTGACTTGTGGTGGGACAAAGTCACTTCTTTAGTGTCACTTTGGGCTAAGGTGTTTGGTGCTTTTAAGAGTTCCTCAGTTGAGGCGTTTCAAAGAGAGTGTGTTAATCTGTAGCTCTAGATTTTTCTGTTTGAAGGACAGCTTGTCCTCTGTTAGCTGTTAACACAATCCATTATTATTTCATCATAAAGAATAAATAGAATAAATAGTCTATTGGCCTTTGTATTGGTTTTTTGTCCATTTGCAAAACAGTTGAAAATTCAGTGTTCTTTATTTTAGATTACACTAGCATGTGCCCATACTAATGCTACATTGGACTGATACAACATGACTGATTGCTGTACTCTTATTTATCTGGAGCAAAGGTTGTTTCATTTTGGGTCATAAAGCTACTTTATTTATCAAAGTAACGGTTATTGCATTTTTGGTCATAAGGTTATTATAAACATCTTCTCTGTTATCGCAGAGGGTAGGTGCAGCCATCTGGCCATCCCAGCTTAAATAGGATATTAGTTAAAAGCATTGAATATTATTGTTGTGTAAACTTATGATATGGGATCATTATGTATGGATGGAGGTTTGGAGGGTAGTTAAGTATAAGCATTGTTATTTCCGTTCATATTTTGGGGATAATATTGCTTTCTTTAATCTTTGTCTGGTTAGGATGGCCTATGTATTTCTGATTAATTAGTTTAGTTCAATTTGTTCAATGAGCTTTGTTCTATCGGCTAAAAATGTTCAGTGCTGTATCAATTGAAGCTGGTAAAATGTGTGAAATTTGTTTTTGGAAGTTGGTTAATTTGGTGAATTGTAGAACAAGTTTTTTATTGTGTAAAATATTTTTAATTGTCGACAATGATATATTTGGAAATTTTGTTATTTTTACCTCTTGATACTGATGAGTAATTGGTTTGAACAGTGGGCTTTTGCCTTCATTGGCAGGGATAACTCATGTAGCCATCCAGTTTCCTGCATATGAAAGAATCAAGTTCTATTTGGCGAGCAGGGGTATTACAAAAACTTCTTCTCCTTACCATTTTATTGGACTTGTTTGCTTTAATGCTGAACTTGGCACTGTTTGATTTGCAGAAATTACCATTTTATTGGACTTGTTTGCTGTAATGCTGAACTTGGCACTGTTTGATTTGCAGAAAACACAACTGTTGACAAGCTAAGTACAGGAGATGTTGCAATAGCTTCTTCATCGTCGAAGATAGTAGCTTCAATGTTGACTTATCCCCATGAGGTTTGTTTCTGATCGCAGTCCTTATATTTTTTGTACTCTAGCAAATTACCTTTTGGCATTTGCCTTACTTTTTTTAGCTTTATCAGGTTGTTCGTTCTAGGCTTCAGGAGCAAGGGCAAGTTCGTAATCGTGAAGTTCATTACTCTGGGGTTGTTGATTGTGTCCGTAAGGTTTTCCTAGCTGAAGGTCTAGCTGGATTTTATCGTGGATGTGCAACTAACCTAATGAGAACAGTCCCAAATGCTGTCATTACATTTACAAGTTATGAGATGATTCTTAGGTATTTGATGCAGCTAGTAACTCCTGCAACAAAGACACCATTAAGCCAATCTAATATTGATGATCATAGCAAGCCTCAATGTAGTGTGAAGGGTGAAGAAGAGAGTGGCTCTGGTTCTGAGCACACACAGGACCAATCTAATAGTAGAGCACCGTCAATCCCTGTGAGTAAGGACCAGTTGACGGCGAGATAGTGATAGATTGATAGTTGCAACTCTGTAATGCAGGAAAAAACAGTTTCCATTAATTGAAAACTTTAGTGCGTACAGAAAGTAAAACAGTTAATAGTGAAGTTCAGGAACAATGAAAGCCATTATTTTCCAATTTGGTGATGAGAGTATTCTCTTGGGTGACTTCTGTTATTCTGCTGGCAAGGAAACCCTGATTGAGTTTATTCTTGTACTTGATTCTGACTGACGCATAGGTCGCGGAATCCAGGCAAGTGCCCTGAGGCCTGAGTATATGATGATGACGAAATCATAGTGTAAGAGATATTAGGAACATGGACTTCCCTAATATCTCTAACATAGAGAACCATTGTAACATATTGCTCGGCTTAAATTTTAAGTGCTCGCGTGCCATCGGCACTGTTTCTTCTGCTCTCTCTATTGTTTCCTTTCCCCCTCTTTTTCAAGATTCATGTATATCTGTTTATTTTGATTGTACAGTTGTGCATTTGCGGCTGATTGCATAAAATTGTTTATGCAACATTTCAAATTGTACATGTTTACATTCTTTCTTTGTTGTGAATGCTGGAAAATTTGATTAACATTTGTTTTGAATGTTAGAAATTTTTTATTTTCATTCTTTGTTTTGCATGTTATGCTAGATATTGCAAATTAGCTGATTTTATCTTGGGTGTTACTTCGCATATTTGCATGATTTTACTTCCGTGACCTATGATTCTAAAATCAATTTTGTGGAGCAACATAATTTTATTATTTTTTGGTTTTTTTTCTTAAAAAAATATAAAAAATTATTGGGAGGTGAGATACTCAAATTTAAAGATTTCCAATTACAAGAAGCTTACTCTTTGTTTCACAATTATCTACAAACGAGTTGGGGATGGTAGTCATGGTAATTATGTTTTCAGTCACACATGAGATTCTGTACGGCATTTTTTTTTTTTTTTTTTTTAAGTAAGAAAGAATATTATTAATCACTAAAACATATGTACAAGGAAAGAGGGCATACCCTTTGAACCAACAACCTATACCCCAGCATCAACACAACTAAAAAGAGCTCCCCTAACAAAGAACAACAGAAAACAGAATAAAAAACAAAGGAAGTCATACAAGTTCTCAACTCATACATGATACATCCATTTAAAATCCCCTCTACTTAACTTACGAGAATACATCCATTTAAAATCCCCTCTACTTAACTTATGAGAATTGAGTTGTTCCACAAATTTCCAGTTGAATAGAAAGCGCCAAAATATAAGGGTAGGTAACCACTAGATGCCAAAAGGAATGATTCCTAGCCAGTAGTGGACCCAACCTTGTTCACGCTTAGTCACGTGACACAGGAAAATAAAAAGGTTAAATAAAATGAAAACAAGTACGGTATAATTCATATACATCTCCGTGGTTCAGCACTCGAGTGCTTTAAGTGAAAACATTTCCTAATTGGCGCAAGATAAATCTCATACCTAGCTATTTAGTCCTTAATAGTAACCTATATTAATTACATGAGTTATATCAATTAATCTAATTGAAAATGTAATTTAATTATTAGAATGAAAAGGAAAAAAAACATGTGATATAACAACTTACTTTAGTCCTAAAATTCATCCTCCTCCTCCACAAAATCCTCTTCCTCCATCACAAAATCATCCTCTACAAACTCCACCTCATGGATTATTGATAGATGGCGGTGACACAAGACCCATAAAGTCCTAGATCCGCCACTATTGTTCCTAGCCATCCAGATATGATATGTCACAACAAGAAGCACATCAAGAGCAACTTTCATCTAAACTTCAGTTTACATGAACCTTCTCCACCTCTTCCATCCAGGCACTATCAAGACAAAGGTGCTAACCTTAAATGTATAACCAACTACAAATATCTTGTAAGCACATAATGCTGTTTCTACATTGTAGAAAAGATTCAATACAGATTCCTCTTCATCACCACAAAGCAAACGTCTGTTATCATCACAAACACCATAACTAGCTTATCCCTTGAAGCCTCTTGTGCACAACTAGCCAAGTGATAAAGGAATGCTTAGGAACATTAAATCTATTCATACCTAGACTATCCAAGGTTGCTTATTAATAGACAACCATTTGTAACAAGCAAATATCTTAAACTTAGAGTTTAACCACTTGTTCTCTATAAAAACGTTGCTTCAATTTATCTTTAATTTTTCCATGCATGCATCTTCCAACCCCAAATGACCTCCTTCTTAGGAGTCTACTCCCACCAATCTTGCTCCTTGATGTAACAACATGCATCCTGCTTCTTAGCTATCTTTCTAACATAACTCCCGAAAGCTACCTTATTCCAAAGAATACAATCTCTAATGCCCAAGTCACTAGGCAGCAAACTTGGATTTACAAATCCAGTCCCAAGTAATAGGGAAGGGGAACTTAGAAAGAACTGTATAACCATCCCATAGAAAAGTCCTACACAATTGTGTAATCCTTTGCATAATACCTTTGGGAAATATCACTACTTGAGCCTAATAAGTGTGCAAGCTCATAGGAATATAGTTAACCAATAGAGCCCTAGCAGCATAAGATAAATTTCTACTAGTCCGGCAATGCAACCTAGCCATCATCTTGTCAATAAGCACATCAAAATCACTAGCCTTAAGCCTTCTAGCATTCAAAGGAATCTCGAGATATATGAAGGGAGTGATACCTTTAACAACACCCGAGTACTGCAAGATCTCCTATGGACTGTCTTATTGTTAGTGTTTTCTTGTTAGCTATACCAATACATATAGCTGTCTTATTGTTAGTGCTTTCTTCAAGGCCAAAGCAAAGCTCAAAAGCTTCAAAATAAGCAAGGAAATAGAAACTCTATCACCATTAGAGAATATCATTACGTCATCAAACAATAAAGATTAAATGATTGAGAGCCAACTGATTGTAACTCTGACAAAACTTGAACTTCCTCATCATTCGTGAGGACTTTATCCATTTTAATTAGGTGTTACGGATGTTTAGTTGCTCAATTTATTTTAGATCTTTTGCAAAAAAAAAAAAAAAAAAAAAAAAATTGAAATTTTAAATCTAGAAAATAATTAAATAAAATAATCAAATCCTTAAGCGGTTGCGCCTAATTAGATAGGAAATAAAAAATTATTTCACGAGCTTTAAATTTTCGCACATATTTGAGAACTTATTAGAATCAAACTCGTGAGTATTGAGTTTTGACCGGCAACGACTTTCTTAATTGAAACTTAATATAGTTGGGAGGGGCTAACTTCTTATAATGTGTTATGTGCTTGACATATGTTTTATGTGACATGACCACATGAGTTACTGCATTTTGCGATTATTTGATATATAATTGGATTTATTTGAACAAAGTTAATTGCAAAGCACTAATTCTAACTTATTAATTGGATTTATTGCAAAGATAAAATTAACAAAATTGCAAAGATAGGGTTAACAAGACTGGATCTTTGATGCATGTACATGAGGCGAAGCATTGAGGCAAACCTAGCTCATGCGAAGCTTGAGGCTATTTATGAATATCTTTAATTACATAAGAATATCATTACAGAGTACTTATCTTGTCATAAGAAAAGTTAGAACCAGTATCCTATCTCCATTTACTTATTAAACTAGTGTGTGACCTGTGCTTTGCCCTTTGAATAATTTTATTTTTATATTAGACGCTTTAAAAAACTTATTAATTTTTTTAATGTGGGTAAATTAGAATACAATGATAATAATAATTTATTTTGGATTTATTTTGGTTTTTATTTTACATTCTAATACGTGTATGTATTTTATATATAAATTTGGATTAATAGAGTAAGAATTAATTCTAGCTAAGATGGTAATACATGTGGTTTCCATTCAATGAGGTTTATAGTATAGATATTTGTAATTGCATATTAATGCAGAAATAAAAACTTTAAGCAATTGTAATATCAAACTTCCTCCGCGTTTATTTATTTTCAACACCTTTTTTTTTTCATTATCCACATGATTTTTCTCATCTTAGCTTTTTGGTGTTTCATGTGCTCCCTTTGTTCACTTATAATTTTCATGTATTTGTATTTTTTAGGATATTCTTGTTACTAATATTTCAAATACTTTCTCCATTTAACTAGTATTACACTCTCTTCCCTCCTATTTATGGAGTGTTTTTCTTAAAAATAAATTTTAATTTAATGTTTTGCTCTATCTCATTTCCCGTCTTTCATTAAACGAGTATCTTTCATTTAATAAATTTTCAATAATTGTGATTATTACCTTTTTTTTTTTCATGTCATAAAGAAAAACGTATCAATATCAATTAATGTAATTTTCCAGTCAACTTATGTGAAATGAATCTCTCTAATATGTCTGAAATAAAACAATTTGAAAACTGAAATATATAAGAGTATTTTTAACAGAAAAATATAATCACGTGAAATCTAATTATACATCTTCCATTGAAAAGTTGGACAAACTAACCAACTATTCTATGATCCTCTCATCTCTTCCAAATCTTGTCCATGGTTTTCATTACAAAAGGATACAACATTACTTTATTACAGCAAGTGAATCCAAAAGAGTGTCAAAATTCCACTCTCCTAAAAAATTTCAGACTATCTCATCCCTCCATTTCACCATCCTCCTTTTACCTGCAAAAACACCAAAAAAAGTCGCACCTTTTTTTATCCTCCTACAATAATCCCCCATTTCTCAACAAAGTCTTCCCCTTTTACTTGAATTATTTTAATCAAAACCCATTACACTTTCTTAGCTATTTCACTTCAATCAATTGTTAATTATTGCAATTGGGTTGTATTTAATTTTTATTTTGGTGGCCTTATTTTACAGTTCATAATTTGGGTGTTGATATTTGGTATAAGATAATCAATTCCGCGTATCCTTGCCGTGTCGATTTTCTCCCCCTTTTCTCTTTTCATCACTTGCACTTTGTCTTTTTTGTCGACTTCAGTCATTTTCAGATCTAATTTCTGACTCCTGTCTTCCTCATTTTGTTGGCGGGTAATTTTATTACTCATCCAATTTATGTTATCCTCTTATTTTTTGCAATTTTCTGGAATTTTTTTATTTATTCTGAATCATATAATATAATTTCTGGGATTTTTGGTACTGAATTATATTTTAATTTCTGGGTTTTTGATTCTAAATCATATTGTAATTTCTGGGTTTTTGATTCTGAATCATATGGTATAATTTCTGGGTTTTTTCAGATCTCCAGAAAATTCAATTTGGTAGGTACAACCTATATTTTGAATTTCATCATATGATTGGTAGAAGAAAGAAGAAAAATTGGTGAATTTTTTTTGAGGAATTTGAAGGGGTTGTTTGGCTGAAAATGGCGACAAGAGAAGAATCGAGAAGACAGAATAATCAACAGCATGAACTTATACCACTAGCTGCATTAATTAGTAGAGAATTGAAGAGTGAGAAGATGGAAAAACCATCTGTTAGCTATGGTTATGCTGAGAAAGCTAAGAAAGGGGAGGATTATTACTTGGTTAAAACTGATTGTCAGAGAGTTCCTGGCAATTCTGCTTCAACATTTTCAGTTTTTGCTGTATGTGATCTAACTTTATTTTCATTTACATTTTTGTTTTGGATTTGGGTATAAACAGTTATTGTTAGC